TTATTTTAAGTATTTTCAAAAATCGTAGTGCTGGGTCAAAGTAGAATTTTCATCACAATCCGTGTCATAGGCCGGATCGGGCTCAATGACGAGACAAGAAGACTACATACAACCTGATGAATTTTAGGCATCGCTTTCACCTTTTAATAAAAATACTGACAAATAGTATCTAAACCAGCAAATAATAAAAAGCACTAAACATTAATAAAAAAAATAAAAAGCATTAAACATTAATAAAAAAATATACAAACGAAAAATAACGCAAAAATAGGGTACAAAATATAACGTTATTACTAACCTTCGTCAAATCGACGAGCCATGATCGCTGTTATGGCACACACAGGCATACTACACTTAAGGCTGTACTACCTATCTGTACTGTCTATCGCAGGGGCAACGGTTAGATTGAAATTAGCCAAAGTATTTAAAAGGAAGCGATCGCGCGCGTAGAAGTTATTGCGATTTTTTAAATGTGCGTCGTCGTATCGACGAAGTTTAGTAATCTAGGGTTAAGAGAAAGAGAGAAAGAAAATGTGCGCGAGCACTGCTTTCTCTTTCTTGTATCCCCCACTCAAATTCCGTTCACCTCGCCCGAACACACTTTTCGTAACGCATAACGCATTCACCAGCTTACCCCCCAGCAAACAAGCGTGCGTAAAGAAGTTTCACTTCAAAAATCAATGACAGGACTACACGACAGTTTAGTAATCTGATGAAAATGAAAATTTGTAATCTGCATATGTGTAATTAGGGTGATGTTTGTTTGTATATACCTGGTCTACCTACATTGCTTCATTCTTCCAACCTTTTTAAGTGGCTAAACATATTTGAAGTTATAGAGTTCTGTTACAATCTTTACAACATTATAAGTGACACTATTTACAACAATAAAAAAATGTTTATGTATAATTAAAATATGGATATCAAATTAAAATCCTTAACGAGTTGCTATTTTCAAGAATTATGTATACCTATGTCTGTTTTAGGGTGTACCTGTAACCAAACATAACATTTCAACATTTTTTTAAATAATAAGTTCATTGCAGATTGGGGACCTCTTTTATTTGAACTGTTTTTTACGTTTTGTATTTTTTTTCAGGGTAGCTAGATTGTTTTTTTTTTTTTAATAATAATCAATGACAGTTTTCTGTGCAATAATAAAAATATGCAAGTCATATCCTCAGTAAAAGATAGTAATGGTAATAGCGTTAGATTTCTGAAACTTTTGTCTTCATTAAAATAATCCCTACGGATTTTTTGTTTTCTTAAGTCCATACCCACGAAGTTGAGGGCAAAGTCAGTCTAAGCCAACGGTCTAAGTGTATTTACATAAATAGTACTAAAGTTGAATAGTGTCTCTTATGGATTAATGTAGTACACCCACAGTACCCACATCTTTTCCTTTATAACTCAGTAAAACTGATTAGTTTACTTTAAAATGTAAAATTGAAAACTTCTTTTTTTTTTAAGTTACTATACAACTACGCCGTGATGTGGCATCATGTAGCGCATTCTACCGACTATACCACGGCGAGTGTTCTGAGGAGCTATTCTCGCTTATCCCTACATCACCTTTTCTTCTGAGGACCACGCGCGCTGGCCTACGTTGCCACCGACTTACTGTGGCCACTATTCCTACATGAACAAAGAAATTTGGTGACTCATTTCTTTGTCGTACTATTAAGTGGAATTCTCTACCCGCGCACGTGTTCCCTCCTTCCTATAATCTGGGGTCCTTTAAGAGAGGCGTGAAGAAGCATTTTTGCAGGCCGGCAAGGTGACGATGGTTGATGAAGAAGTTTATAACTGCTATACCAGCTATCTTCGCGTTTGGACTTTATCACCACTTAACATCAGGTGGGGTAGAGTCATTTACCTACCTCGCTATAAAAGAAAAAAAGTATGACATCATTACATTTTTTTACGCTCATCTTAAGCAAGTCGCATTAAATACATTTTTAATTGTTTTCACACGATTTCTTTCTTTTGTTAAAAGGGTAGCAACAAGCAAATGACCCCTCCGCCTCATAGTAAGCTGCCACCGTAGTCTGTAAACGATTGTAATACCAACACCCTCAGGTTCGAGTGGTCTAGAGGCTCCAGACGGAGAGGAGACACTCCCCGTAGGGAATGCCATTCGCCTGGAATACCTCTAGAGGTACTCGTCAATTCTCGGCTTGAGGTCTCCTTAGGATCTTGCCGTCCCCAAACCCGGTGAAGCTGTAAAGGTCATCGGCGACCAACAGCATACACACTCAAAAAAAATCTCTTTGTTTCTGACCTTGACCCCCTACCGCGCGAAGGCAAATTTACTAAATACTTTAGGCAAACTATCTTTTCCTTATAGATACAATCTTTCTCTTTATTTGTTTTTACTTACAATGTAAACAAAAGGCGATGCAATAAAATCAATATTTTATCATAAATTATCACACTTCCTGGCCTTCAGCGGGAGTAGGATCGCCCGACAACCAACGTTCGGCCATAATTTGTTTTATCTTCGAGTTTCATTGAACCGATTTGTCATAATAAAATACATCGGCATAAACGGGGAAGTACTAACGCACCGTTCAATCACAAATGCTAATGAGTGTGCCGCCGTGATTCATCGAATCGGCTGTTCGAATCATAATAATTTGATTATAAAACTCTAAACAAATTGGTTAGAACTATTTCTTAATTTTCATTGATTAGTTCTGCATTGATTAACGATGTGTGGCGAATTGGGTTTTAATCGCGTTTACCTTTCATCTTACTAATATTATAAATTTTGTTACTCAATCACGTAAAAACGGCTGAACGGTTTCTGATGAATTTTGACTCACATATAGTTTATGATCTAAGCACTGGGTATTTTTATGCCGGAAAAGTATTAGGTTCCTGAGGGATTTTCAAAAACCTAAAGTTAACAGGCAGTCGCTTGTATATAATTGACTATATTAAACTAGCAGGCCTAGTGAACATCGTACCACGTAGGGGTTGGTGGTAGAAGTGTTTAAAATTTAGGGTTGTATGCATTTTTGATAATCAGTATTGTCAAAAAAAATGAGTAAAATACTCTTATTACTGAGGGGTATGAAAAATAGTTTACGTCCTATTATCAGACCTACAGGAAATACACATACAAAATTTTATAACAATCGGTCAAGCCGTTCCGGAGGAGTTTTGTTACAATTTTATATTTTTATATTAGATGTAACATATTTGTTTCTTAGGTTTTCACGCACATCACTCATTAAATAAAACTAGTTTTTACGGGTTAATGCACGAAACTTTATTTATTTATTGACGTTTCGTAGCCTTTACAGGCTTCGACGTCAGAATAAATCTTTTATTTAATTTGTCGAGCTACCTTCGAAAGACTTTTATTGAGCGTTCGGTTATTTCATTGTTCGATTTTTAAGTTTTATTGTCTATGTATGAATTTATTATTTAATTTACTTTGTTGAGTGCACGAAGCGTGTACATCTTACATAGATACAAGTTCAAGATCAAGTGCTTATTGCAATCATGTGGTTATAAAGATTATGTTCATACCAAAAAAGACCGACTCCAGGCATGAAACCCTCTAAGATCTACCAAACCAGCAATAATGTACTGAAGGTATGTGTTACAAAATTCCTTAAAGTACTGTTCGCCCATTGGCCGAAATTAGATCTTTAGTTTGAATGTGTATTTAGGTTTTTCTCTTACTTCTTAACTTCTCAAATCATTGTGTGTTTCTCAAATACATTGCAGTGCGTTTGATGATTTTAATAAGAATAAAGAAAATTTTACTAGAAAAAAATCCACTCGATCCAGGTAATAGACCCGAACCCGCATCTTTCGCTATCCAATATATAAAAATATTTTTTACCTAAGGAAGAATATCAGACTATTTAAGAAGATTTGAATGACAAAACGGCGTGATCATGATTTCCCTATTGTTTTTGCTTTGTAATTGTTTGCAGTGTCCTACCGATAATTGACTTTAATTTTAAGTAAATATGTTGTGGTTGATATAGGTAGTAATGGGTAGTCATGATCTCTTAAAAGTCTCTTCGGTGGTCTCGTGTGAGGCGGGTCGTTACGTTCCCTAAAATATGGTTGAGCGAAGCGACGGCTGGTTCATGCGTCATGCTCGTGAACGAGTGCTGCCAGCGGAGATGAGTCTGCCCTAACTTTGATATTTAAGATGTAAATGTTTAATTACACCTATTATAAATAACTCTGTTTGTATTAATACTGTGTGATACAGCAATCAAAATGCAGGTGAACAATTAATGTATAATTTCACATTATGTAATGAAAGGTCAGTTTAGGCTGTTACAAGCACTTATAAATGTCTAGAAGCTACGCCATTGGTTCGTAAATCTACGGCGGGAGACCTTGTACTGAGAAGAACCGGCAAGAAAATCAGCATGGGCTGTTTTTTTCTCCCTGTTTTGTCATTTAGAGAGTCGTCAAGTTGAAAAATGACTTCAGAGAAGAAGAAGAACTTGACGACTCTGTAAATGATAAAACAGGGAGAAAAAAACAGCCCATGCTGATTTTCTTGCCGGTTCTTCTCAGTACAAGGTCTCCCGCCGTAGATTTACGAACCGATGGCCTAGCTTATAGACATTTATAAGTGCTTGTAACAGCCTAAACTGAATAACTGATTTTAATTATGATTATTATTATTTTTTGTTTTCCCCACTGCATCTGCGTAAAAATGATAATGTTTATCTATATAACTATGTTAAAAGTAGTTGCATTGATATATATGTATAAAGTATTTCCTGCAAGTATTATCTATTGTTTAACATAAACAAACTTCAGTCTTGTTAATTAACCGAGAAAAGGGGAATAACAAATTTAGTATCAACAAAATTATCGCAAATGATAAATGTGTAATGTAAGAGCACCCGTTTTTCCTCAAGCGCACAGGATTCCCCTTGCACTATCTTCAAGATTCGCATTGAATTCTCACACGTCGTTATCATTTTGTATATAAGTCTGCACTCAAACGCTGAGCAGTCATTCTTGTGTTGGCAGCGCAGAAGTTAAACCCTATTTTATTTACCTCTATTTTTAAAAATATGGATAAATTCGTATTCGCACTCTTCCTCCTTGGCGCTTTGTGTTGCTGCAGCAATGCGGTTCGCTTGGATAGGTGTGGAATAACAAGAGCTTTGAGAGCACAAGGATTCCCTGAGGATAAAATGAGCGATTGTAAGTATTGCAAATTTTTAATTTGTGTCCTAATAGTTGAGTGGTTTACCAGTAAACGTAGGTTTAGAAGGTTCAAGTCTTTTTTAATATTTAGGTCCACATCCACCAAATTAATTTTCAGTTAGCTCATTTCAAAGCTGATCATGTTTAAGTCTATCTTTATGTTTAAAAAATTGACAAAGATGGAATATTTTTTTACACAGGATAAAGCCTTGATTCGATTTAGAAAAGCTGATGCAAGTGACCCTTGATTGGTTGTTCACATATTTAATTAATAATGCTTGTATTCAAAGTAAATACTTGTTATTTATTAAAAAAATAACGAATCACAAAAAATACTGTACATAATAACCAAATACCAATACTGTGTAGAGAGCTCGAGCAAAAAAATATTATAATAAATTACTAAGTAATTAATAAGTTCGTTCGCTTAAATTTTTTACCGACACTGCACAAACTATTGGAAAAAAGCAAAGCATTTAGAAAAAAAAGGTGTTTAATTGACATCTTACACTTAACTTTTTGTTTCATTATAATATCTATATCGAAGGAACAGCGTCTATCTAAGAATACGAATTGGAAGCGAGATCACTCTTTGATACAGCATCTCTTAAATATTCTTCACTATCGAGAGCTTGAGCCCTTGAGAATTGTCCGGAATAACTTCGCCTAAGTATGTAGGTTTATGCATAACTTTTAGTTTGTGAACTACGTTCTACTGCTTGGTATCCAAGAAGTAACTTGCGGTATCTCAAGGAGAAATTTATATCATATCGTATTGTTAGCTAAAAGGAAAACGACAAGTTCATTAGTACAGTGGTTAGTGCGTTTATTCTGAAGTTATGAAGCTTTCTCTGTAGCCAGTCAATTGATAGGTGGCTCATCTCATATGGAAATGTTCCACTTACCAATCATCGTTGTATTCATTCCCCTTTGTGATGCTTATTGACTGTCCGTACTCCAGTAGTAGAAGCTTAGTAGAGTAATGAAATTGCGATACTAACGAAAGAAATTTATTGCTTGATTTTAATGCAGGATTTCTCATGACTTTTTGTCTTTTTTAGGGGTTTGCTTAGTGGAGAACGAGAGTGGTGGCAACACAGGAAGGAAGAGTAGGCAGAATAAGAACGGTTCCTATGATTACGGGCTGTTCCAGATCAATGACAAATACTGGTGCAGTGCTTCAAGCACTCCGGGCAAAGACTGCAACGTCACTTGTGCTGGTGAGTCTTTTTTTATGTTAAAAAAGTGGCAAGCAAGCATATGGCCTGGATCATAAGCAGTCACCATAGCACGACAGACGCTTGCGATACAAAAAATGTCACTCGCACCGTTGCCTACCCTGACCCAATCCCCTACCCCGCGGAGCCCTATAAGTCTTATACAGGACTTACGAGCCCTTTTACAAAATTGCGCCGCTGTCGTACTGATTAGCGCGTAGGTAGATTTGCACTAGTATATATTGCATTTTACGGGTGATATTTCGAGTCTTATAAAATAATTAATAATGAACTAATTATAAAAATATATACATATTTCAGTAGTTCAATGATGGTAGATTAGTTTCATGAAGGTTTTTGATAGTAATTCAATATCAAAATACGAGGTAAACCTGCATTATTTTTTGGGAAAACTCACGGAGGTTTTTTTGATAATTAATGAGATGGAAAATCAAAATTCTAATACATTATGTTACAAACAAAAACATATTTCTGATGTCGTAGTAATTAATTTGATCTTATTTATTGAACATTATTTAGAGATTCAGGCGTTTGAAGTTGGGTATATTATCGTTTTTTCCGTAAACTAGTTGCAGTAGGATGATCAGTACAAAAAAAGAAAATAGTATTTGCAAATATTCACCATTAAGTTACAATAGGAAGAATAAATTTACTGTTTATTTCAATTGGAAAAAATCAAAATCTTTTCTTAGGGGGTAAACGAGGCGCTCAAAAATTTCGATTATTTGCAAAAAATGTGAAAGGGTTCTTAAAAACCTAAGGCATACATTACACAGTTATGCAGCCGTCAGTCAATTCTATCAGTCATGAATCGTGAATGACGAAAACGTATGGTGACTTAAAATTCACCAGTGCTCGCCAACCGCGTCCATATTGTATGTTGGAAGGAAAGCGAGTTGGTTTGAAAGGCAGTATTGGTGCTAAAATTGACAAAGGCAAGCCCCGTTGATTCGAACATGTAGAAAGAATGTCTAATGAGAAAATGACGAAACAAATAATTATACGACGCGATAATGGAAGGATGTAGAAGCTGAGTAAGGCCAAGACTCACCTATCACAATCAAATTGATCGAATTTTGAAGGTAGGTGACATCAGAAGCCGCAAAAACCGGCGAGCGTGTATGAAATGAATAATGAATGTGATTGAACCGAAAGATGTGTACGAGCCGTGTCTTATAACGCTATATTCTCTCTGCTTGCCCCACGCGGGGCTCGGCGTGAACATAGATATATAAATGGATAAAAAACTTTCATTCGTCTACCCGTTTGTAATAACCAACTTACCGCACTTGTATCATAAATAACTATTACTTATTAAAAAAATAATGTTGTCATCATGTATATAATGCAAACGATAACTTTTCGGGGTCACTGATTGTCGTTGACCCATGTACTGTACTTACTTATCAATTAAATTAATACAGTATGATGATATCAGTGTTTATGATGTTTATACCTGTGATGAACACTTTCCAACTGAATAAAAGTTCTGAAATAAATAAAGTGCTAATGTTAGCCTTAAATAGAGATATACAATTTTGTTGCTTTGAAATCATAGGACATATACATTTTAATTTCTATTTTAATACTCTTGTGATTTTAGAAAGTGATTGTTCAACATTTTATTTAAGAGTACATAGCTTCCCTGTATCAGGTATCATGTCGACAAAACTTAGTGAGAAAAGTGTTAAGCTTCTCAGAAAGTTTCGACACTTACATGACGAAAAAAGTAGTTAATGTTTTATTTATCACGAATTCACGAGACCCTCTGTAAGAAGTCTTGTTTTATTTCACTTGTCGTGATGTTTCTATTGCGAGATGTATTTTCAAAGGGCTATTGTTATATTTTATTTACTCATCTACCTACTGACATCTTTATAAGTGAATTCTATTTATTTTGATATATTAAATTAATGTCTTTTCACCATTTTCTTCCTTTACTGCAAAGTAGGCAAAAATTTGTTTTTCAATAAAATTCATTCTAAACGAAATAAATAAAGTCCAAGCTGTGTATAATTATAATAAAACAAAAAGAACATTATATTCTAGAGAAGAAAAGCTATTGACCCTTTTAATCAAATTCTAAGCTAGTAGCTACATTTAAATTAATACCCCATGATAAAGTAAATTTATATCAAAACGGAGTGATCGATTTAATTAAGCTTAAAAAGTTTTCTTCATTTTCCATATTTACCGGTTACCGTGTCTTTTTGTTATCAAAGTGCGTGACAGATTGAATAGGTACATAAACATTAACACGCAGTTTGATAGCTTATCTGAACTTGGTATTATGAAACAAAGATTTTAACAAACTCTTTTTTCTATTTATTTATAAAGCGACTTTTGTCCAAAAGGACACGTCAGTCCAATTGAATTTTAATCTTAATACGTACATAAACAAACTTGTGTTTATTATTATCAACTTAATCAGCTAAAATTTATTATAAACATCTTCATATAAATATATACCTATAATCGTAATTGTTACTAACTAGAACGACTCCCGTTTTACTTCGTTTCATTTCAGCATTCGTGTTTGTATCCTAATTCTTATAAATATTTTAAATGTGAATGTTTCAATGCTTGTATGTTCATTTGCAAGCTTTAAGCAATCATCAGCTCAAAAAAACCATTTGGCAGCCGGTATAACACGAATACGTCACCAAATAGACGTAGGGCTAATATAGACTAATAAATAATTAAATTTTAAATTACATAAGTAGCCAGTCCCATAAAATAATGTTTTTTCCTTCTCTTTATTCACAGACCTCCTTACTGACGACATCACCAAAGCCTCCCAGTGCGCCAAGAAGGTGTTCAAACGTCACGGGTTCATGGCTTGGTACGGTTGGCGCAACCACTGCCAGAACAAACCCCTGCCTGACATCAGCAAATGTTAAATCAGCGTGACAAAAATGACATTTGAAATGAAATTTAATGCCATTTGGCCCAAAATTCTAATTTCACATTAAGATTTAATCTAATCGTGCTTTTCCGTAACACACAAACTCGCTTTTTCACCGCGGAATCCGCAGTGGGATTTAAAAAATTAAAAGAACATATTTGTATGTAATTTGTCACACCTGCGAATTCTGCGGTGAAGTCAGTTTGTTCTTATGGAATAGCACAGCTGTATACATCTCTTCATCATTGTCAATTGTTTTAATTAACAAACTTGGGGCAAGTGGGCCTGATTTAACAAAAAGTGATATTTGCATTTAAAACCTCTTTGGTGTAGCATTGTCTTATAGTTCAATATGTGTTAAGTGAATTATTTTGAATTCGTGTACAAAATCTCATTGATGTATTTTTACTAGTCCTAAATTAATAATTAATAAAATCCGCTGTGATGATAGTTCTTTCAAATTTCTGCTCCACTAAAAATAATCTTGTTAAAATTTCGTTAATTATATATTTATGTAATCTACCGTAAATGAAGTAGTACTCAGATAAAATTCAACGAAAAGCGTTCAAAGTTTTAAGATATTTCTAAAAAAGGTCTCAGTAAATAAAAAGGTATATTAAAATTTACTCTGGATTTATTTTGATACGGTGTACCTCCTGCTGTGCGATTCTGTAAAATAAAATCTCACTTCCGAATTCAATTTCTGCCATTTTAGACATTAGTTTGATATGCGTTACGCCATTATACGGCAAAATGTTGCAATGACTGTTGACTCAGCCGATTTTTTCAAAAATCCGTATAAATGAAATCGTAAGTGAGACTGTATCTTACAGAATCGACAGGCTGTTCAAATATTAATACAGTTTTTATCCATATAACTCAAATACCTGCTGTTATTTGCTAAGGGAATTAGGATTAACTTTTGTCTTACCAAAAATCTCTCAGACATCTAAATTTCTAATTCCACGCAAGCGACGACGAACTATGAATTTATTGAGTTATTATAATAATGAACGGTAAGTTTGCAAAATCTCTAGTTTATCTAACAATTTTAAGATTCTAGAGATTTGCAAACTTAATATTAGTAGAAATATATAATTTATGAAGCAAAAATAATGTCATTATATTATATGTAAATTTAGTGCAATATAGTGTAATAGTGTTTTTTATTACTTGAAAATAGAGTAATGAACGCCTTATTCAAAGATACCTTAAAGTAAAATCTTTATTCAGTTGTGAATTTTTACCAGCTGTTACATGGAATTAAAGCACCTATTAGTTATGATTGATTTTTGAATAAAAAATACTTCAGATTGGTAAGTAAATTAAGTGCGCCTTAAATGAATGTACCTACAATAATTGTATTTCATATCAAGTTTATAATTCATTTTGAGGTCCGTTTTATTCAATTGTGTTGGATTAATCTAAATTCATAAGAAGCCTATCGGTTTATTTGAATCGATATAATGCAGATAAATTCGTTATCCAACTAGCAAATAAAGCAATTTTGTGGCACACAATACAAGCCAACATAATATGAGGAAAAAGGAAAGAAAATCCCCAGGGATCACTTACATAACACAATACATCAAGTCGCTATCTAATATTAAAGCAGCTGAGATATACATACATATGACACGCGAAAATGAAAAATGAACTTGTATCATTTAATACGGGTACATTATATAAAAAAATGACAACTTGATATTTCACATTTATTCTCTTTTTACTCTTTTTGGAAAGATATAGGTAGGTACGATCGAATCAATTAATTACCTCTTCAAGATTAGTCCATCGCCGGCTCGCAGGTCGCTCACTGGGCCTCCCACGTGGGTCTCACCCGGTGAGCTGGACCGCGATGAAGCTGTAGGGAGGGGATACTGGACCCTAATGACCTCTCTGCAAGAAGCAGAGTGCATCCGACGCATCCCTAAAGAAGCAATTCTAAGGATTTAACGCACGTCGCGGCGCCATGGGCGCCGGCGACGCACGATTCCTGACTCACTTGACCGATATTTCTCTTAAAAGTATCAAAACAGGTACATTTTCTTTTTGTAGAGAATGTGTATGAATGAATGAATGAATTTGCACATAGGACCTATTAATAATAAGGAATATGTGTTAACTTATGAATGTGGCAGGTAGAACTGCTGTATCAGCCATCTTCACTGCGGGACCGGGACTTCACTTTCACTTAACATCAGGTGGGGTGGAGTCATATGGCGAATCTTTCTATAAAAAAATAAAAATAGAGTATGTTCAAGATAAAATTAAAGTAGTAGTTTGAATTCACAAATCACTTATAAAATAATAAATGTAACAGAAACCCTTTCGAAATATAATAAAAAACGTTGGTAAACTTATAGGGAAATCCTTAATTTGTAGGCAAAACTAGATAAAAGAAAATTTGAGACAATACTCCAATCAATTTCTAATTTTAGTTCGTTCGGCATAATGCCTAAAATCGTTTAATCAGTGACTTGGTCATGTTGCCCTGCCGCAGTGATTCCCTACGGTAACTAGTTCCGTGGAATTTGAACTCTATGTATTCAATTTCACCTTTCTGAAATTTAAAAAGATTTTAATGTTTTTGTATGTTTTAATGTATAACTAGTGATTCGCCCTTGCTTCGCTTCGGTGTGGACTGTGGTCTTTGCTCTCAGACTTATATTATACATTTCGTATGTGCAGCGGTTTTCAAGGTCGCCCAATCAGAGGTCCTGGGTAGAAATACCGGTAAGGCTAATATTTGTGTGATGAATACGATCATTTGTACCTAAGTCATGGATATTTTTCTAAATAAAAAAATACTAATAGGAATTTGTGTGTGTATGTATCAGTATGTTTTTATGTATTCTATCATTTACCCTAGTGTCCCATAACACAAGCCTTACAGTGCTTATTTAGGGACTGGGTTAAAAAATATACCTTCTTATTTAATCATTCCATATAATTAGCTGTTCTTTATTATTTCTTTATATAGCTGAAAAATGCATTAAAACCGTTGCGTAGCTTAATAAGTCTAAACTAACTACAGACAGTTATAGCAACTTTGAAGATAAGAAAAAAATATCATTACAATACGCTAAACTACGTAAAAGCGTTTTCTTCGTTTGTTATTACGAAGCTTTTTATTACTAAAATTACCTACTATATCAAGAGAAACGTGAACTAACAGTAAAACAAAACAAACTGAAAGTACGTTATGAGTATATGAAAGTGGTATAAGAACTCACTGATCGCTCGATACCAGCCATTAGCAAACAATTTTACTCGCATTAGCGCCCCGCGCCGAGCCAACTGTGAGAAATTTATGCAGTCGGCTTTATTGAAGCCCCCATTCGCGCTATTGCAACGAAAACTGAAATGGATCGTAAAATTTTGAATAACTACTTAGCCAGTTGCGATTCGATCTGGAAACAATTACTTGGATGTATTTTTTGGGTTCTGTACGTCCAGTGGAAACAGCGGAACCCTTATAAAATCACATTGGTGTCCGTTATACTGACCCTTTATCTCGGGAAAGCTTAAAAGGTATCAAGTTCAAATAGCATATACTCACGTCTACGGCTGCTTAAAGCTGTGAAAAAACCAAACTTCTAAGTTTACATAAAAAAGATACAGCGGTTTATATTGCATACCTACAAAATTGCAGGGATGGGGTCCCTGCAATTATATTTAAATAGGGAGTGGTGAGTGAGACCGACTCGCGCTTGTCCGGTTTTTTCTTGTCTTATAAACATGTTCTAAAGAATATTTGTTTCTTGGGTTTTCACGCGCATCACTCATTAAATGATTATGATGATTTTTACGGGTTATATGCACTGTGAGGGAGATAGAAAGCCTCTCTGAGTTGTTTTCGCCGGTTCTTCTTACAAAGGTCTCCCAATTTTGGAACCGGTGGTAGTTTACGGTAGTTAGGGTCAAATAAATAAACTCAAAATTATAAAAAAGAATTAAATAAATTACTTTATTAATTAAATTAGCTAATAAATTCAAGCTTAGACAATAAAGTATTAAAAATCTTCCAATGAAATATCCGAACGCTCTATAAAGCCTTTCGAAGGTAACTTGACAAAGTAAATAAGAAATCATTATTTCTGAAGACGCAGTCCTTACTGGAACATATTCCAGTAACCAAAATATCTTCAAAAAAGACACACCTAGTACAGTACCATAGTGCTGTACTAGGTGTGTCTTTTTTATTAGAGTTTGAAAAGTAAAACAGGATTTTTGATGTTTTCTGCTACTTCAAATTTACGATGGTACCACCATTATCACGATTGCTAATAATTTTGGGATTAATTTAATAATTTCAGTTTTTATTATATTTCCGTTACCTATAGAATATTAAATAACCCTGCGAGCTCTTGAGAATTCTTTATGATCATACACTTATCTTGTAAACTGTAACGTTTGTTGTCAGTCGAAATGTAAGGCCAATCATATTTCACAGAGTGATATGAAATCTAAAACAAAAGGCAAAAGAAAAACATTCCAGAAGAGAGTTTTTTCTGCTACAAACAGAACTGTACAAGAGCAAAGCCGACATTGAAAAGACCCAGAGACTCGGTTTATACATATTTAAGAGTTCTGGAAACGCGCCCAGATTTGTGAGAAGGGGTTCTTTTAAAGGGATGCCAAGTTTGGAACAAAGCAAACAGCGTGGTCCACTCCGTACCGAGCCATTACTCGAGCAGATAGCTGACACTGGATACTTTATAACAGACTCATTATTACTTTTATCTGCTGTTTTGGTAACATTTAAAACCTCGTACGTTCCCCTTTTACATTTTTAATCGCTTTGATAATAAAACCAAAACTTTATTTTAGAATTACATAATTTGGAAGGAAATGAAGATTACAGGTCAACGATTCCATAGCAAAATACTTTAAACAATTGAAAAAAATGGATGAATATTTCTTCTCAACCCCTGTTTAAATCCAAAGATTTTTGTAACAGGTGTTTTTCTTACCATACTAATGACCATTGATAAAAAATATTTTTTCCTCCTATTAAGGTCTATGACTCTTCAAAATATTATAAAAAATAAAAATAAAATAAAACGAATTACAATAAATATGTGTGTGTGTGTCTCCTTGTGCGGGTGTGTGTGTATGTGTTGATATATTTGGGTATAGGTGTGTTTGTATGTTTGTTTTTGTGAGTGAACGTATACATATTTGTATTACTTTATTAAGTATATGGGTTAGGTATGTC